AGGTGTGGTCGTCGTACTCCGGTCTTGACAAACTCTCCACAGATGTTTCTCTTTATTTCAGAGAAATTCGCATCGCCCTTATCCTTTGAAAAGACCATTACATGTCTTCCACTTTTCGGGAACACCAAATTCTTCTTCACAAAGTCAAGTGGTATGTTGATGAGCACAGAATGCCCGTCGTACTTCCCCGCAGTTATTATTTGGAACAACACCAATGCTCCATACCCATCACCAACACAGATGTGTGGGTGATACTCTAATAATGAGTCTAATTGATAATAAAAAGATCCCAACGGGTTAAGTGGGGCCATGTGGACGGTGTTTGTATCATAAAAGTAGTTCAAGTATACTCCCAAATTACTATGGGGTCCTTCACAAACACCGTGGAAGTACTGCACTCTAAATGGGTTGGGGTACATCGTGGTTGGCTTGTTTTTCAAAAACCTTTCGCTCTTGATGTACTGCACTTCGTTCTCCCCAACAGCCATCTTTTCTTTGCCTTTTCCAGTTGTATGTTCTTTATAGTTTAATTATAATAAAAATATAATTTAACTCTAGTTTTACTACAAATGGTAAACAAAACTATAACAAAGTGAAAGATTGTAACAGCAAAACGGCTTTTTTTATTTTGGTAATAATAATAATAGAAAACTATTTTAATAGTAAAACTGTTATAAACTGAACCATATTTCAATTCCTTGTTGTCTAGTCGATTTTTGCCTCAATCTTGAGAAGCTGAAGTGCCGCTGCGAACGCGGCTGTCTGTGTCTTCTCGTTTCCTCCAACAGAGAGATTTCTCCTACGAGTCACTTTATTGTTTTTCAACGCGCCAAAGAAAAGATACAGTCCAATGCAAACCAAAAACTATAAGAGTATAATAAAAACCTATAATTTAAATTAAAAGAAGAGAAGAACAAACTCAATGGTAGCGAGTGCTGTGACGCACTTAATTCTCGCATTCTTGTCGATCCCCTCTCTCACCTTGATGTCGACAAGTTTAGGAACTACCCGATTGATGATGTCATTGAGTGATAACCCGCCGACGATCAAGTCTTCAATGGCTTTATATGCTCCAATAAAATCAGAAGATAACATCTGAACGAAGATATTAGTGATCTGTTGTGGCGTTGGGAGCCCGACCATAGCGAAGAGTGTTTCATTAGAAATTTGGTTGCACGTCATTGAGAGAGCTTGAAGTGTATTGATGATGGTCCGCGCGTCGCCTTTAGATATGTCGATGAGGGACTGTTGCGCGTCTTCGTCGACAACCATCTTCTCTTCGTCCGTGATGTGTTTCATAATCTTTTTCAACGCCTCTGGCGACAACGGACCAAACCTAAATTTCGCACAACGGGATTGGATCGCTGGGGTTATCAAATTGACTTCATTGCATATAAACACAAATCTGCAGTTACCAGAGTACTGTTCTAAAGTCCTTCGAAGCGCGTTCTGAGCGTCTTTTGTTAACTTGTCGCTTTCGTCCAACACAATGAATTTGGTGCAATTGGTGTAAAGTGTACGCGTCGACGCAAAGGACTTGATTTGTTCTCTGACAACATTAATTCCACGTTCGTCTGACGCATTCAATTCAAGCACCAGCGCTGTATATTTGGGTCCACAAATTTGTTTCACAATTGCCAGAGCCGTCGTTGTTTTTCCTGTTCCTGGCGGTCCATAGAACAGAAGGTGTGGTAATTGATTTGCTGAGATAAACTGTTGTAATGACTCCAATATGTATTCATGGCCTTGAACACCCGAAATTGTGGTGGGTCGATATTTCTCAACCCATGGAAGACTTGGTTCCACTTCCATAAATACAAGCTTTACTATTGTAAGTTATTTTTTTAATAAAAATAACTATATATATATTTATAATATATATTAATATATATTAATAATCATTAGTATTCAACTTAATTAACATTATTCTAATAAATTAAGTTAAATTAATTTAAATTAATTGATAGTACATTCAATAGTAATACATTTTAATATAAATTGCTTATAAAATAAATAAAATTTTCAAATTATTGATATTATTAAACATTAGTTTTATCAATTAAATAAATTGATCTATAAATAATGTAAATAACAAAAATAAGAAAAAAATGTTTTACACCTTTTGTATTACTGAACTTCAAATTTTTTTTGGTCTTTTAATAAGAAAAAGCACAACAAACAGAGGTCTAATAAAGTAACATTCCCAAAAAAGCGACTCTAGAGTACATTTTAAGTTTCATTACTCTAACTTGGAGGAACAAAAAAATCAGATGTCTGTGGCGAATGTTGGCCAGTCCAAGAGTTCGGAATCAGACGATGACTCACCTGGTCCTATAGCGACTGCTGCGTCGAAAACTGTAGAATCTTTGAAAGGAGGGTTAGCTCCTCTAATGACTTTATTTTCACCTATCAAGCAATGTGAGTTTTTGACTCCGACGGATTTTAAGAAAATTGCGATGATTGGACGCGGGAGTACCGGAAGAGTCTTTCTCGTGCAACGGAAAAACACGAAGGAGTATTACTCGATGAAGGTTATGGACAAGAGGATAATTGAGCTCAACAAGAAGCAGAATCGCGTCGACTCTGAGCGTGAAATCCTCGAGCGTCTGAAACATCCATTTTTGGTGAACTTATATGCCGAGTTTGAGTCTCCGAAGTATCACCTGTTTGTCATGACTTACTGCGCTGGTGGGGATTTCTGGAGATTATTGAATCGACAGCCTGGAAAGTGCTTTAAAGAGAACGTTGCCCGATTCTATTTAGCTGAAGTTGTTTGTGCTTTAGAATATCTTCACATGGAAGATATCGTGTACCGCGACTTAAAGCCGGAGAATTTATTGTTACACGAGAGTGGTAATATCATGTTAGGCGACTTCGACTTAAGTAAAGTGAGTGAGAAAGAAGAGGCTGCTGTCTTCAAGAATGGCTTATTTGGCTCGTCCGAAGTCGTCGTCGAGCCACAGAATTTCAGAAGTAATTCATTTGTCGGGACAGATGAATATTTAGCGCCAGAGATCTTGTCGAAGACTGGCCATTCCGCTTCAGTCGACTGGTGGACGTTAGGTGTCTTGATGTATGAATTTTTATATGGGTGTAACCCTTTTGTCGCAAGTAGCAAACAAGAGACGTTCCAACGCATTCAAAAGGGCGAATTTTCATTTCCAAGACAACACCGATACCCCGTCTCAAAAGATGCAAAAGATCTTATCAGAGAATTACTCGACATCGATTCAGATGACCGTTTGGGAAGTAAAGGTGGCGCGCCAGAAATCAAACAGCACGACTTCTTCGCAAGCATTAAGTTTGCGCTGATAAGAAACATGACGCCACCTATAGTCCCTAAGCTCATGGGACCTAGAGACGTTTCTAACTTCTTCCAGTATAAGCCGTATGACGACGATGTACCAGATGACTGGGCATACGTCGAAGAAGAAGTGTCAGCTGAAGACAGCGAAGGGTAATAAGTGCTGGGACGAGGTTTTGTGAACTCGTGTTTGTATTGTTTTGTGTTACTGTTTTTAGGCATTTTGCCTCTCACTTGCCAGTCCATTTGCTTAAGTTTTTGGTGGTTTCACCACACACTGTAATAACAAATGCTATAAGTCTAATTACTTTTATTAATAATGAATGGTTTTATCAGAAGACAAGACTTGTTCACACAAAACCAGTTTTGCCATTTCAATTTGGCTAACCAAGAAACACCAATGAAAATACGAAGAGAAAAAGAAGAAGTACAGATGAAGGAAAGTAAAGTGAAAGTAACAGACATAATGATTTACACACACCAATTTTCAATGAATAAGTCACTCAACGAGGTCAGAACCCGCTGATAACTTCTTTAATTAACTCGACGACTTTCTATGAGTTTCTTTGGACCTATACACCAACAACAAAACAAACATTTCATAACCATTGTCGACTCCTCTTCTTTATCACACCACTCCAGAAGAAGACCAAAAAGCTGGTCGGACTCAATAAATAACTTTTTGACGTTTTCTGTGATGGGAAGTTGCTGAAGTTTACAATCCTCGTTCTTCTGAAGTGCTTCCCCAAGCTTTGCGCGAGCTAAATTGAAGACAAACTGCTCGGGATTCACAGAAACGTCGTCTTTGGTTAGGGCAGTATACTTCTCGATGTACATGTTATAGGCCGCGCGAATGTCCGTCCACTCTTTCGGCGTAGCAGCAAACCCTTCGAGCTTTTTCGCGTACTTTGCGAGTGTTCCCGAGAATCGATAGAATAACCCGAGGAGTTCACTTGGTGCCATGTCGTGCGGGACATTTTGCATGACAAGACGAATAGCGCTATTGATAGAGTTCCATTGATCGACTGCATTTGACATTGCTGGGAAGTGAGCTGAAGCGGTTGGGAGGGAGAGTGTGAGTTTTGTGATATCGATGAGGTCCTCCATTTTCGCCACAAAGTCCTATCTTTTCTTTGATTTTTGTTCGAGATCGTGTTCCACTTAATTAATTCTCTTTGATTGGTAACAAATACTACTTTTTCTATATTAATTTAAATTTAATTAAATAGAAGAAAAAATAAAATTAAATAATATTAATTATTAATAATTAATATTAAATAGAATACAAATAGAATTCAAATAGTGTTCAATAGTATTGAACAATAATATTATAATAATTGTTATTAATTATAATATTATAAACTACACAAACTATAATAACAAATTTGTGAAATGTCAACCGACGACACCGTCATCAATGACGTCGAAAGGATGTTAGTCGTCGCTTCAAATCAAATTCGTGAAATCTATGACGTCTCCTCAGACTATCAAGAATCAAACAAAAGCAAATTGGTCGAGTTGGTTCAGAAGTTCGATCACTCTTTACAAGAAATTAGTGTCTATTGCGAGGGAGTCTCGTCACAAGCAAAAAAGGACTTGGTGATCCCTAAACAAGTCATTCAAGACATTGACAATGGTCATAAACCCGATTCATATGGAAAGGAGTGTGTCGATAGTTTTAAAAAGAGTCACCAACTCGAGCGGGTTCGGAGCGAAGGACTTCAAAAGCTCTTTACGTGTCTCTGTGCTGAGATTAATGAAACATTCCCTCAAGACTTAGCGTCGAACATCATCACCGAAGCGACCTTGGATTACTAGTTTTTATTATAATTATTTTATTATACATATATAGTACAATGAACAGCAGTCTACAACTCATTTAATTGCCTTTAAAAAGTTTTCAAGACTCTCTTGTGGGCTTTTACTTGATGAATATCGATCCATGAAAGGACTTGGGCTTGGAGAGTCCGAGTACGAGTCAAAGAAATCTTTTGGGGTGATTTCTTTTCTCTCCAAGATGTCTTCCTTTATCTTTTCAATTCTCTCAAACCCAGTTTGGAGGGTCTTGACCTGCTTTTTGAACAGATACAAATTGACTCGAGAGCACATTGAACACTTATACGTGAACGCAGTGGACCGTTTTGGAAGGATTTTGTGTGGGTATTTCTTTGCAAACTGTTTGCGTGTGAGTGTTCTCAACAGTGTTTTTGAATCGAACGATGAGGAGCAGTATTTGCAAAAATACAAATTAGGGTTTTTTGGAAACTTTACTTTTGAATCAGTAAATTCGCTCAATTTTGTTATATCGGGGAAAAAGTGGCTGTTCTTCATATTAATATCTTTAACAACTTTTTTCTGCGCGTTGATTTTGTTGTTGAGATCCCCTTCAGCAATTTTGACTATATCATTAAACCCATAGTTATACCATCGACTCGGAAACAATTTTGAAAATGAATTCATAAATGACGTGGCAGATGCTATGGTTTCTGCTTCCTCCGTGCTTATGATTGTCGTTTCAACTCTCCTCTCCACAATACTATCTTGTACTTCCATTCACGTCTTTCCAGTTCATCCTTTATTAGTTTTTTTTATTGATATATTTAACTATAATTATAGTTAAAAACAAATTGTATAATTTATAGCAAATTAAATTATAAATTTGTTCTGTATTTTTAGTTCAAAACAAGCGTTGAAAATGTTATTCAAATGTCTGAGATAGAAGTCAGAGTTTCAAGAACTCTTGAAAGGAAGTCTAGTAAATGATAATAAAAAGAACTAGACGAGTATAGTAGAACAGACAACTGTAAAATCTAACTCGAAAAGGCAACTGAGTATGAATAAAGGTGGTCTGCGAGGTGGGCCAGTCTCCCACTCGACTACAGTGACGATGGGGCAGAAACGGAGTTCCGGGTCATTTGCGAAAGAGAAAGACGACAAAAAAATTTCGCATTCAGTTGGGCAACTCCCAACTGCGGTGTGCACGGACTCGCCGATGCGATGCGAGAACCCGGGGTTTTCTAATATTAAAAATAAAACACTGTTTGAAGATGATAGTTCGGAGACGGACACTCCCGTAGTAGAACAAAAGCACAAAGTCAAACAACAAAGTCTGGAGAGTCCAGACGACGACTTTACACTTGTGCCTATTAATTAATTAATTTATCTTTCACTTCAGAATTGGTTCTTTTTTTTAGCTTTCAATTTCATCAAAAAGTGTATGGAATAAATCTTACTCAAAAGTATTAACAATTAAAGGTAAACAGCCATACAATTGTCTTTAAACTGAATACCACACTTCTCATAAAACCCTTTCACCGTGTTGGAACAATCTAAGACAATCTTGTAACACTTGGTCGCTCGCGCTAAATCCTCGAGACATGTTATTAAGGACTTACCTATTCCCCGTCCTCGATAATTGATAGAAACAGCAACATCTTCTATATGACCGACTAACCCACCACAATGAATGAATTTGCGTTCTACTAATAAAGTGGCACAAGCGACTATTTTGGTGGTCTTGGGATCTTCCGCTACTACCACAAGATGGCGGTTAATAACTCGCTTGAAGTGAATTCTATTTTTAGATTATGAGAAAAACACAAACCATCTCTTCAAAAAAGGTCTTGAACTCGTCTTCAGTCATTTGACATGAAGTAAGCTCTGCTAATAAATGAGTAAAGCCTTTCTGATAGTCTCCAAGCTCTAAGAAACGAAAGTCAAGGCCACTGAATGATGGGAATTTGTATGAGACTGTCGTGATAACAGACATCTGTTGTTTTTTTTTCTAAGATGGAGAATATGTTTTTCTCTGTCTTACTATTCTTACTCAAATATATTCTTTGTTATAAAACTATTCATTAACTACTCATAATTTTTATTGAATGGAAAAAAAAAGTTTGATGAAAAAACACTCTTGAAAAGTTATCGGTTGTTTTTTTTCTCTTTTTGTGTGTTTTACTGCAACTGTACTTTTTATTCTACCGATAAAAAACAGAAAATATTTACTTGGTTCTGTTAGTTAGTTTTTATAACAATTATTACATAATTTTTTTATATAATTATAATGGTTTCAATTTAAAATTGTTATTAATAAAATTTAAAATTTTTATAACTATTTAATATTATTTTTATATAATTTTTTTTAATTCAATTTAATTAATTTGTATTAGGAAATTATTAAATACATATAGATTTAATAGTTTATTTTTAACTTATATTTGTATACCATAAATAACTATTAAGTATAGTTGTTATTATTTATTCTTTTTAAACACAAATAAACAATTATTTAAAACCTAAAAACAAAAATGAGTTTGTTTTTATAATAAAACTGTCAATAATTATATTAAAATGATAATTAAAAAAGAAATTATATTTTTAGAAAAAGTAATTTCAAACTAAAAGTGTTTTTATTTTCCAACGAATATTTTTGTCAAAATGGGAAAACACCTAAAAGAAATTTATCACATTTATATTTTTAATTTTTTATAAATAAATTATAAAAATTATTATTTTTTACTAAATTTTTAATTGCTTCTCAATTATAATCGAAAATAAATCTTTGATAATCAACTATGGCGTCTTTGCAGAACGAGCAGCAAGTTGAGGACGAAGGGTATTTAGAAAATTCAATGGAGAGCTCCGACTCCTCCGAGTCTCCGAAGATATCTAAAACAACTAACTCGACTGGGACATCGCAAGCAACTTCGACGGAGTCTGATAGTAATTCCACAAGTACAACAGACTCCATAGAACAGCTCCAAGAAATTGTCGACGCGATGCAAGTCCAAATCAGAAACTACAAACAAACCCTCCTCGAAACACAAAACCAGTTGCATTTACAAATCACAGACCTTCAAAACAAAAACGCGGAGTTGGTTAGAAAGTCGTCGGACAAAGACGACAAACTGTTTAAAGCTGCTGACACGGTGAAGTCCCTCATCGGCGAGTTAAAGGAAATGACTGACAAAAACACCAGTTTGCACTGCGAGATATTGAAAGACAAAGACGACTTAGCTGCACTATATAAGCGGCTTGGACAGCTTGAGAACACAAGCCATGTTGGAAATTTGAATGAATTGGAAGTGTCGTTAGTCCTCAAGTTGGAGCGAAATAAAGTGGTAAGTGCGGACGTATTGACAAAGAGTGCTGACGAACAGAAGAAGGATTTAAAGCTCCAAATTGAAATATTAGAAAAGAACTTGATGATGAGTAAATCGGACATCTTAGCTTTGAAGTCTTCGAATGGAGACCTTACTCAAGAACTTTCTAAGAAGAACGATGAGAACCAAAATGTCAAACAAAAGAATGAGGAATTGTCAGAGAGCAACAAAACCCTTAATTTGCAAATCAACAAACTGACTGACGAACTCTCGAAGATCAGAAATGTGAAGAAGAAAACAATATCTATCAAAGGAGAGTCGAACGAAGATATTTCAATGAAGGAGGCTGCATTGGAAGTGATTAGGAAAATCAATAACTCACAAACAAAGATATTCGACCAGCCAATTTATGACGAATTTGCACTGTTTCAGAAACAAAACAATTTCACCCCAAACACATTTGCCCATGTTCAGCAAAAGTGTTACGAAACGTTGAAGGACGACTTGGACAAGTTCATGAAATCGTCGTCGCTAATTACAGTACAGAAGGCAACGGACTACATCGACATATATAAGGAAGTCTCAAGTCGAACATATTTCACCACTTTCGTGAAGACACACTCACCAAATTTATTGAAATACCACAACGTCCTTGCTGATGTTATCAACTTCAACTCAAAGTTTGGGAAGAAAACAGTGAAACGATCACCGACGCCGGGTATTGAAAACAATCAACCTCAATTGATACAAAGACAAAGAAAGAGGAGACCAACAATTAGTATTGCAGATGATTTGCAAGAGGACGGTCTCAACTTCTCGGCTTTCAAAGAACGAAAACAAGTCCCGCTCACGGTCTCTGACTCATTTATTACACGAAAAAACAAAGGAAGCCCTGAGATACTCTCTGAAAGTGGCGAAACGCCAGATAAAGTGTTTAAGAGCGAAGAAAGTATGGACAGTGAAGAGAATAAGGAGTATACTGATCATTATAAGAACTTTAAAACTAAAATGCTTTGTTGGACAGGTAAAGAACTTTGGGCGTTTAAAGAGCAAAATGCAGGTAAAACGGCGGTTGGGATATACACAAATTTCAGTAAGGAGGTACCACAACAGATATTCAATATCGTTGGAGAAGTCATTTCGGTGGTGTATCTAGACTCTAATGTATTTGTTGCAAAGACAGATAACAGTGTTACTGCGTATAACATTGCATCAAAAATTGGGAAGAACATCATCGACACAAGTGACAGTAACATTGCGCATATGGAAAGCTGCGAAAGGAAGGTACTTGTCTTTGTTGAAGGAAAGTTTTACTACGAGATCAACGAGCGCCTCGAGAAGACTGTGCGCAAGTTATCATTATTGAGTGATATTAAGACTGTCGCGATTTGTGGAGAAAACTTGTGGGTTGGTACATTGGCTGGTCTTAACGTCTTCAACACGTTTAAAAAGAAGAGTAAAATTGTCAAAGGAATTCCCAAGGGAGAAATATCGCAGTTACTCCACGCAAATGAAAAAGTGTGGGTCGTCCTTAACGATGATATCAACGTGGTCGACGTTGAAACACACGACGTCGTCAAAGTGCTTTCTCTTCCAGTGCAAAAACTTAAACTGATAGGGAAATTTGTTTGGATATTACTGCGAAATGGGTCGGTTAAGGTGTACGACAGCCAAACCCTTGAGTTAAAAACAGAACACAGTATATCTCGGTTTACATTATACGACGCAGTACCGACATTCAAACCAAAACTCGACAACACCGAGAAAGAGATGAAAGAGTGGGTTTGTGTCTTGTGCGGAGAGGAGAACAAATTGTTCCAAGTTGGAACACCATTCCCGTTTCATGATTGGTGTGTAATTGAGAATCAGTCTGGTACTAAGACGTGTCGGTGTTGTTCCAAGAAATTCAAGTCTGGTGGAGTGTTTTGCCACAGTTTGTTTTTGTGAATTACATTAAACTTTATAATACAACACATTATACACAAGTATTCTATAAGTTAATAGTTAATTCAAGTCATGTATAATAACATACAGAGTGTTGTGCCGTCTTTATCTGTGACAAGTGTCGAGGTAACCCAGAAGTCTTTTCGTTGATAACTAACACGGACACATGTAGTGAATATTCTGCTTTAAAAGCCGAGTTTATTAAAAAGGAAAAGAAGAAGTAAATTTTGCACTTCCATTTATGACTGAA